CCAGCCTTGAGCACAAAGGACGCGAACAGGTTCCCGTGAATGTAGTTTCGGGTGCAGTGCAGCTTCCTATATGACGACGTATCAGCACAACTCCTGCCCTGTCCCTCTGCCCCCCTCACCACATTGGGTATTAGCTAGGAGCGACAGCAATGTACCTGAGGCCCAGCAGAATGACCAGCGCAAGGAGCAAGGCCCCCAGGGACAGACTGTACCCCACAGTGTACATCACCTGGTAGCTGCTATACATCTTGGCCACCCCGTTCTGCAAACCAGAAGCAGAGTGGGGCTGGGGAGTGTCATATCCTCTGCCCCCACGCAGCCCCACGTGACACCACCCCGTACCCTCCAGAGCTGACCTGGACCTCGATCTCTTCATCATCCATCTGACATTGGGAGGCGTTGCGCCATGGCTGCCCCCGCGGCCCTCGAACCCACTGCCCATCAGGCCCACACCTCTTGAACACTAGGCGGTGCTGCACTGGGACACGAGTGCAAGCTCTGATCAGCCCACTACTAAGCTCCACCCCCTCAGCCTAGGCTCCACCCCCTCAGCCTCCCAGGCCCTCCACTGTTACCTTTGTGGTACCAAGGTAGATACCAGGGGCAGGAAATGTTGGCAGTGGTGTTGGGAGGGGTGTCAGGCCAGCAGGAGTACTTGTCGAAGGTTCTGTTACAGACCAGCTCTGTAAAAGTGAAGGAGGATGGGAGAGGGACCAGGAGTCCCCTGATCATCACCATGGCTTCACTGAGCCTGCATCTAAAGGGGATGCCTTCCTGATGTAAGCCACATGAGGCATCTCCTGGCCAGTTATCCTGCCCTCTAGACCCCGTGACTACCTCCCTTTCCAGCCCAGCAACGTTTGTGTTTGCCCAAGGTACCTTTCCTTCAAGACATCTCAAATGTGCACCAAACCCATTTGGGGGTGTTTCCTCTCTGTGTCGTTTATAAAAAAATTTATAAAATTTTTTTACATTTATCTATTTCTTCGTTCGTTTATTGTGTGTGTGTGTGCACATGTGCATGCAGTCTGAAGCATATATGTGTGTACACCACCATATAGGCTCAAAGGACAACTTGGAAGAATCATCTGTGTTCTCTGTGTGAGTCCCAGAGCAAGGGTCTTTATCTGCTGAGCCATCTCACTGGCGGCTCCTGCCTGGTAATACATTGCTTTTGAGATGCTGATCTCCAGTTTGGTTGGTATCCTTTCCAGGACCAGCCATAGCTCCCACATCCTTCTCCCTCTCTCTCCCAGGCACTTGTCACCTCCCTCCACTGAGCGATTAAGGACCCAGTCTCTCTTGGCACCCACATTGTCCTATTCACTGTCTGCCCAGTGTGTGCGATGACAGTAAAGACATGGCTGGGGATGAGGTCATCCGGCAGCAGGGAGGACAGCAGTCTCCAGCAGGGAGGACAGCAGCCTCCAGCAGGGAGGACAGCAGCCTCCAGCAGGGAGGACGGCAGAGCATGCCAACTATGAGGCAGTTCTGCATTTCTACTTTTTCCTAACTGTGCAGCCTTAGGAAAGCTACTGCCTCTGGGAGCCAATCACCTGGCTTGTAACTGGGGCAAGTGGCTGAACATTACAGAGCTGTTATTACTATCACACTCCCATAAGGTCTCTAACTGCACATTCAGGCAGGGTGACAGGACACAGAAGTCTATAGGTGGGACTCACCGGTAGGTGGGGGCAGCTGGCTTAGGTTGTGGTGGCATTGGTCACTATAGAGCTTCCACTTCTCAAACAAAAAGTCCATTACCTGGGCAGAGGGTGCCTTCGGCTGGGAAACAGGTAGGCAAGCAACCAGAGAGCTGTCAGCACTTGTGTGCAGAGCAGGCAAACCTTCATGCAGGGTGTGGGGCGCACAGCACTCACCAGACATGACAGCACCAGCAGCATCAGCAGCAGGTGGGGACAGTGGAGCTGGGTGAGGGGCATGCCTCTGGGTAGCCACCCCCCACATCTGGCAGAGGTTGCACGCCTGGGTCCCTGGGGTGTGTGCACTTCTCCTCGGGCTGCAAAGAACCAGAATAGTGGAGGCTGGAGAAAATCTACAGAGCATCCTGTTCCCCCAAACCAAGCCTCTGAGCCCAAGGCACCCACCCGATAGCTGAGGCTTGGGGAGGAGACGTGTGGGTAGCTTGCAGTTCCAATTCAGAGACAGGTGACTATGGGCACTGTTTTCCTGCTACATGGGGTTGGCTGGCTGAAAGCAAGCACCTCCCTATCTGGTCACCCAGATCTCTCAGAGTGGCACCAACAACTCAGTCACTACCTCTTTCCTCAGTCATGTCCTGGCCTAGACATCTCCACCTATTCTTAGCCTGCGGGAAAGCTAACTGGCCAGGCAATCTGACCTGGAGTAAAGAGAGTAAGGGTATGGTGCCCAGGCCTATGCCACTTGGTCCCCATTACAGGGAAGTTCCTAGCTGGGGTCCCGATGAGAGACACCTCTGCCTGATGTTTCCTGCAAGATGTGGGATCGCCAGTGACAGATCTTGGGCAGTAGCAACCATGAACATCAGCTACCGTCTGGGAGCTGCCTTTGGAACAGGAGGTGGAACTCTCAGCTCCTCCTGCACCATGCCTGCCTGGATGCTGCCCTGTTCCCACCTTGACGATAATGGATTGAACCTCTGAACCTGTAAGCCAACCCTAGTTAAATGCTGTTCTTTATAAGAGTTGCCTTGGTCATGGTGTCTGTTTGAAGCAGTAAAAACCTAACCAAAATAGCTCTGATGGATTCTCATGGCAGAAAAGCAAAGAGCTTCTTGGGACCTCTAAGAGGTCAAACTGCAAGCTCCTAGGGCTGAGATGGCCCTCTGTCCTGTGCACCCACAGACAGAATATACAAGATAGAGCCAGGTACGGTGGACGGGCCTCTGTCCTCTGTCCCCACAGACAGAATATACAAGATAACATACCCGTAGTCCTAACATTCAGACGGTGGAAACAAGTATACTACCCGAAGTTCAGTGCCAGCCAGGACTCCATACAAAGCCCCGCTGGGGTTGGGGGAGAAAGGAGGGGATGAGAGAGAAGAACTCAACTGGCAGAAAAGCAGACCCTTTGGATTTCAGCCTGCTCTGATAAGCCCAGTTGAGTTCTATCAACAGCAGCTTGCTAGGGCTCCCCTTCTGCCCTCCTGCACTTATGCCCCCTCCAGTCATACCTGGATCACAACCTACTAAGGGACTCCTGAGCCTAGCCCTTGGTCAACAGGGTCTGGCCAGAGGCAAGATTCAGGGTTTCAGGCCTCTGATACCTGAACCTCAGGGCAAAAAAAACCCCTCAGAGCAGAGGGTTCCTGCTGGGGACAAGGCAGCAGACAGGTTAAGGAGTCCCTACCTCTGGGGTCACCAAGTGGCATGACTCTCCTGATGTGCATCAAACCGTCCCAGGTTACTAGTGGGCTGGGTATAGAGAAGCTAAAAGCCAGAAGCTGGCTCTTCACACACTATGCCTGTCTGGCCTCCACCCCAGAGCTCCTGGGGTCTCATAGAGGCCTGAAGGGGGGAAGGGTAGAGATGGGAAGCCTTCAGGACAGTGTGAAGGTGATAAGGGATGGCAAGCATTTGTAGAGAATGGAGATACGGGGAAGAGGCATGGCGGGGAAGGATGTGGTCCAAGATCCTGCAAGGGTGAAGATGAGGGCAGAAGGGGAGGATGGTCCTTTCAGCCCAGCTCTGGCTCAGAGGGGAGGATGGTGCTTTCAGCCCAGCAGCCCGGGCTGAAAAATTAAAAGTTCAATAGCAGAGAGGACGTGGCACACACCTTTAATCCCAGACTCGGGAGAAAGAGACAGGAGGATCTCTGAGTTTGGGGCCAGCCTGGTCTACATAGTGAGGTCTGGGATAGCCAGGGCTACACAGAGAAACCATGTCTCAAAAAACAAACAAACAAAAAAATCCAAAAATAAGTAAATAACGAAGAGTAACGAAGGCGAGACAGAGAACCCTTGAGGGTTTCCTCCCACATACAGTTTAGTGCTCTGACTAGAGTGGGTGGGCTCAAAAACACCCAGGGCTAGATTCCTAAGGGTTCAGTCATCTCTACCAGGGTCTCTCACACAAGTGGCAGAAATGGGTGAGTTCTCTATTCCTGTGATGGAATAACAGTGAAGGGATTTCTAGTCAGATAGAAGGGTCATGCAGATGAGAGTTGAGTTTCAGTCCCATGGCATTGAGACACCAAGGTCTCCGCACAGAATGTCTGGCGGCAAGTCAAATCAGTGAAGAGAACAAACATATGAAGACCATCAGGGCACCCTTTCCCTTTCACTAAAGGAGTGTGGGCTCTGTCATCAGTGGGATAGGACTGCAATCTCTGGACCCTGTGCACTCTGCCTCCTGTCTCCACAGTGGGGGGTAAATACTGACACCCAGACGGAGCGCATCAGCTCTGATAAATACTCAGGGTGACAGGCAGCCAGGTGTGGACGCTGCGCTACAGCACCTGTGGCCCGAGCTGCAGTTCTGGCCGTTTTTCCACCTTATTACCCTCCCTGGCGGGAACAAATGGGCTTAAGGACAGTAGACCATAGACCCTACCCTCTTCCCTTGGACTAGGCTGCTGAAATCTCTCAGTGAGATCCAACTTTAGGTGAAATATGAAAGACGGGAATCTGAATCCCTAAGATGTCAGTCTGTCTTGCCTTCTGGCACACCACCACCTGGACTAGCATTGTCCCATGCCATCACCGCTCCCAGCAAGCTCCAACAGGACAAAGGACACTTGGGTGTTTGCAGTGTGGCCAGCGAACCACCGATTTTCTCTGCAGGTGGCCGAGATGAATGGCCCAGTGGCCAAAGGGAGGCGTCACGGCGGGGTGGGGGTGGGGGGCTGCGCTTGGTTCCTTAGGAGCCAAAGTTGGAGCTGGAGCGGTAGCAACGTTTTTTTCATCTTAGGAATCCCCAGAGTTCTGGGGAACTGGAAGGATGTTTTGGTCAAAACAGAGAAACTAGATCAGGTCATAGTCCTATCGCAGGGACAGGATCAGGGGCCACAGGCTGTGACAAAGCCCAATTCCTGAGTCCTCCCTCGAAAAGGGGCGGGGATAACCACCGGCTCAGGTGAGCTCAGATTCCCCTTTCTATATCTCCAAGACAGAAGAACAGCAAAATATCCCTGGTCGATCCTCGGAGGATGCGAGAGCCAAGAGGTGAGGATCAGTCGGTTCGCGACAGAAAACTTGTCGGGTCTGAAGTGGGTGGGTGGGGGTCTCTGGGGAACCAGGAGTAGAACAAGGGCAGTGACTTGCACTTGCAGGGTTCAAAGTAAAAAACTGTGAGCGGCGGAAGAAGAGCCCTCCGTGCACAGTGCCTACACATCTCTCAGGAAAGACTGGGACACTGCTCGGAAGTCCTGGAGATCAGGAACACATAGGAAGGGGAAGCGAATCCATCCGAAGGGGATGAGCAAGCCTTTGGGACTGAGGGGCTGGAAGCTGGGGTGCGTTGGGCGTTCAATGGGGCAGCAGAATTCACGTCTGCACCCGCCCTCTCCCACCTCCGGGATTGCGCTCCCAGAGAACAGAAAGGAGAACGTGAGACCCCCTAACCTGCAGGAGACGGCTAGGGAATCAGGCGACCCTAACCGTGACAGTAGGACACATTACCCGGTTTGGAAACTAAGGTGTTAACCAGGGGCGAGAACTACGACAGCTAAGACCCCAGGGACAAGCTGGCTTACGTCCAGGCCCGAGGACCAGCTCCCCGGTCCCCTCTTATGCGCGCCCAGGTCACGCTTGTGTTCCAGCACCCCACAGACCGCCTGGAACCGTCCCCTCGGGGCCCGACCCTAGTGCTCACTGTGCTCAGTCGCCGGGGTCAGGTCTGGGCTCCTTGCGATCCTCGAGCGCGCTCGGATCTGGGCGCAGGCGGTTAGTCGTCTCCGCCGCGCTGCGATCGCGGTCGGCGCCAGCTCCGCGCCAGCCGCTCGCAAACTTTCCAGCAGCGACGCTGGGCGGCGGCGGCGAAGGGGGAGGGGGTGGGGGCGGGAGCGGCCCGTGGGGGAGGGGGGAGATGAGGGTCCGCGCCTGAGCCTTAGTGAGGCGGACCTACAGCGAGCTCTCAGACCCTCTGGGTGCAACCCCGAGTATCTCTCCTGTGCCGAGCTTGCCCTGCAGCTGTGCATCCTGCGCACTCGCTCCCTCTCCCTTCTGGCACACAGGAGCAGGCCCTGACCCTGACCCGACCCCACCGGTCCCTTCCGAGAACCCTCACCATGTGTACCGTAACCCTGAGGATCCAATCTTGCACACCCTGGACTCCAGAGAGCCTCCACGGGTGATTCGTGACCTGGCAGGTGCAGGTCCTGTTGGGTCCGAGTTCTCCAAGTGAACATCATGTGACTCAGCGCGCCCCTTTCTCTTGTGATGTCCACTGTCCTGGGGTCGCATCACTGCGTTCAGGTTTGCAGTCTTGATTTTTCAGGATTAAGTCCCTTACTTAACCACATCTGGCTCCTGGGTGGAAGATTGCAGCCGTCACACGTGCACCGAGGGTGGGAGTAGAGGTGTGGGGGGGAGGTCAGGGTACAGGGACCGCTCAGCAGGTTTCAGACAAGGTGATCCGCTAAGAGTGACTCTGGAACCCTTTCCAGGTTACATGCCTTGTGGGCCGCAGGGACCCCGGTCCGATAAGCCCTCAAGCAACAATCCACTGACCTGGCCCGACCTTCTCCACTGACACAGCCCTTTCCTAGAGACCTCCTTTTCTGGGGAGTCAAATGCTCTGAGCCACATGCCTACCTTTCGCCCCCAGACTCAACCCAGGAGAGGACATTCTCTCACACTCCACTGCCCCACCCCTGTGAACCCTTGAGCCACCTCCTGTTGCCTCATCTCCCCTCCTGCCCAGTGACCTCGGGGTCAGAAACTCCCTTGGGTGTTTTTGGGCTTCCACTTCTCTGGCTTCTTCACATCCTGTAACGCTGCGGGTCGTGTTGCTTTCTAGAAAGTTCTCCCTGTAGGTGGCTTTCGGAATGGATATCTACATTCTCTAGCTTTCGTGGAGATACCTCCCTCCACATTTCCAGTCCCCAGACCAGTCCTCCGAGGCCCAAGTCTCCTATGCCTGTGTCTCTTCCTCATACCTGCAGAGTGTCTAGTAAAGGAACCAAGGCCCCTTTCTGGAAGCCAGTCCATCGCCAAGTGTCTCTTTGATTTGGAACACATGTGATCTCTTCTCTGTCACCCACTGCCCCTTCCTCAGAATTCCTCATGGTTCTTGAGTCAGTCCCTTCTCCAGGACTTCGTTTCTAGTTTAAGGGATATTGGATTCTGTGCCCCAACCTATGGGTCCCCTCTCTGGTGAGCTGGTCCACCCTCCAGTGCCGTGTAGGCAGATCTTGCTTTGTACAGGTCTATAAGGTCCACAGGAAGATCCTGCCAGGATTCAGGGGGAGGGATGCTCCCAGAGGCTCTGTCTTCTGTGCCGATATTTTCATAAGTGTCCACCAGAAATCCTGACAGGGAGCCACCCTTTCTGTTTTGATCCAGGCAAAGGCCAGAAGGCAAAGGTTAGAAGGCAAAGACCTGTTTGTTTCCGCCGCCCTGCGGGGGTCACTTGTGCAAGGCTGAGCAATTGATACAGGCTCTCTTTCATTCAGTTCCTGTTCTGCCCCCCCTTAGGCACACCCTGGAGGATTGAGCTTCACAGCCAAGGTCTGCTCCTCAGTGACCTGGTAATGAGACTTAGGGAAGAGGGGTGCCAGGAGCTCTGAACCTGTGTAGCGCTGGGCTGGAAGGGCTAGACCCCCAGTGGCCAGGGGCAAAGTGGGGGCAGGCACTGGTCTGCAATTGCCTCTGTCGAGGTTCTACGGCTCAGCTGGGCTTCCTGTACCTCAAGGTGAGTCGTCCCTGGAGAACGGAGGCTTTCCTTTCATAAGGACCTTCCTTACCCTCTGACCTTGTGTAGGGGGAGAGCAGCAGAAAGAGGCCGCTTTGAGAGCCTGGGAGAGTAACACAGGGCTGGCTGCAATGGGACTGGCCCCTGGTGTACTCTCTGTTTACCTCCCTGAAGTCTCTGCCTGCTCACACTTCATCAGGCTCCTGGACCTGTTGGTGATTCCTTGAGTACTCTGCCATCTGAGATCCAGTTTGGGGGCTGTGGAAAGGCTGGGGATTAAGAGTGCATTCCATGTAAGTATAGGGACCTAAGTTCAGATCCCTGCGCGCACACCAAAAAGTTGGGCCCAGCCATATGCACCAGAACCTTGGTGCTGAAGGTTGCAGAGACAGGATCATTGTGGCTTGCTGGGTACCAATCCAGCAGAAAACAGTGACCTCCAGGTCAATGAGAGACCCTGTCTCAAAAGAGGAAGGCAGAGAGCAATAGAGGAGGACACCCCTGACCACACACATTGGCACAGGCGTGTGCACACACATACACACACATTCTTTTTGTTTTGTTTTGTTTTTGTTTTGTTTTGTTTTTTTGAGACAGGGTTTCTCTGTAGAGCCCTGGCTGTCCTGGAACTCACTCCATAGACCTGGCTGGCCTCTAACTCAGAAATCCACCTGCCTCTGCCTCCCAAGAGCTGGGATTAAAGGCATGTGCCACCACTGCCCAGCTCATACACACACATTCTTGTTTTGGTTTTTTTTTTTTTTTTTTGGTTGTTTTTTTTTTGTTTTTCGAGACAGGGTTTCTCTGTATAGCCCTGACTGTCCTGGAACTCACTCTGTAGACCAGGCTGGCCTCGAACTCAGAAATCCACCTGCCTCTGCCTCCCAAGTGCTGGGATTAAAGGCGTGCGCCACCACTGCCCGGCTATACACACACATTCTTATGATCATTTTTTTGAAACTGGGTCTCCCTATGTAGCCCTGGCTGTCCTGGAACTTGTTATATAGACCAGGCTAGCCTCTGCCTCCCAAGTGCTGAGATTAAAGGCATGTACCACCACACCCAGCCAATAATAAAAAAATTTTAGATAGAATTTAAATTAATTAATTTACTTTATATGTATGGGTTGTTCTGTCTGCATGTATGTGTATCACAGGAGTACCTCATGCCCCCAGAAGCCAGAAGAAGCTGTCAGATCCCCTGGAACTAGAGTTACAGACAGTTATAAGGTCCAATACGGGTGCTGGGGACAGAACTCAGATCCTCTGGGAAAATATCCAGTGCTCTTAACCACAAAGCCATCTCTCTCGCCCTTAATAATTAAAAATTTAAAAATACTGTTTAGGGGCTGGCAAGATAGTTCAGCAGGTAAACTTGCTTGCTGCCAAGTTGGAGGACCTGAGTTTGATCCTTGGGACCTTCACGGTGGAAGAAGAGAGCTGACTACTGTGAGGTGCCCACTGTAGCATGTACTGACCACACCCCAACACATACATGACACACATACAACAAAGAAATAGATGTAACGTTCTTAAATAAGAATTCAATTTTAGCATAAGCATGGATGGGGTCTGTGGGAGCACAGCCTCCTCAGCCTCCGTCTCTCTTAGCTGCTTTCCCCTACCCTTGTCTGCCTTTAGCGAACTTCCTATTAGGCTGATGTACCAGCGCTCCCGAACCGCAGTATTTGCTGTCTGGGCTGTCGGTTCCCATAGCAGCCTGGGGCATCTGCCCTATAACAAGAACCCTGAATAAAATGTTTCTGCCTCTTGACCACTTATCTCTGAGTTCTTCATATCAAAAGACATAAACAGTGTGGAGCTGAGAATGAAGGGGGAGGGGCCTTCCCACGTGTAGCCAGCCAGTGTCTGTGGGCCTGCGGACCCAATGGCGCCTGTTGTCCACCGCATTAGGGGTTCTTAGGGAGAAGGACTTTCCAGGAAGTATAGCACTTTGTGTTCCCAGACAGGCTGCAGATTTGGTCAGAAAACATGAGATGTGGCAATGCAGAGAAAAAGGTAAAGACATTAACACAAGGGCCGCCCTGACACAGCAGATTTGCAGTATTGTCTTCAGGGATGTCTTGAGTTCTCTGCCTCCCTCCCTCCCTCCCTCTCTCCCTCTCATCGTCTCAGATACCACAAGCCAGTATTGAACTGTCCATGTGGGTGGGATGACTTTGAACTACCGATCTTCCCACTAGCACTTGCTGATTTCAGACATTCGCCACCATGTCTGGATTCCTTTCAAGGTTCTATGTTTTCTGTCCTGCTGGAGTGGAATCCAGGGCTTGGTGCATACAGGTAGTGGCTGCGCCACTGGGCTGTCTTCTAGGTCTCCTTATTGTAGCAGCTTAACACTTTGGGTTTTTTTTTTTTTTTTATGACAGGATCTTCTGTAGCTCAGGCTGATCTCAGAAGTCCAATATAGCTGAAGACTCCTCCTCTAGTCTCCCTTCATAGCTAAGGTTAGCCCGGGGCTATGAAGTACAAGCTGCCTACAAATTTAGTCTTCCGAGTGCCTGAACTACAGATATGAACCACTAGTTCATATCTGTCTACATTAGTGCTTTGGGTAAAAAGGTTTTATTTTGTTAACTTATCTGTATGTGTGTGTATTTGTGTGTTTGCATATGCACATACAGGCACATAAAGAGACTGGGAGAAGACATTGGATTCCCTGGAGTTGGAGTTACTGGAGACTGCGTTTCCTGGCAACGGTGTTGGAAACCAAACTTTGGTCCCCTGAATGATTAGGAAGTGGTCTTAATTGCTGATGTGCATCACAGGCTGGGGACCAAGTGTTCAAACGCCTAAGACTATGCAGAACATCTCAACCCACCCCAGTGCTCATAATGACAGCAGTCAGGAAGTGGCCCGGGGCCTCATACTTACTGGGCAAGTGCTCTACCTCTGGACTACAGCTCCAGCCCTTTTTCTTTTTCTTTTCTTTTTTTTTTTTTTTTTTGTTCTTGTTTTGTTTTTCGAGACACGGTTTCTCTGTATAGCCCTGGCTGTCCTGGAACTCACTCTGTAGACCATCCAGCCCTTTTTCAAAAACTTGTTTTTGGAAACAAGTTTCATTAAGTTGTCCAGCCTGGCACTGAACTCATTCTGTAGGTCCTTAATTGATAAGGATGTTTTGACTTACATTTCTCTTTCTTATTCTTAAATATTAATTAATTTATTTATTTATTTATTTATTTATTTATTTTATATGAATACACTGTAGCTGTAGACACACCAGAAAAGGGCATCAGATCCCTTTACAGATGGTTGTGAGCCACCATGTGGTTGCTGGGAATTGAACTCAAGAATTCTGGAAGAGCAGTCAATGCTCTTAACCACTGAGCCATCTCACCAGCCCCCCCCCCTTCTAATGTGTGAGATAGTGATAGCACCGCAGATAAAATCACACACTGTTGATTGAGAGCCTGATTTGCCTCCCCAGATCCCACATGACAGAAGAGAAATAACTCCCACAAGCTGGCCTCTGACTTGCTTAGGCGCACCTTGTTGTGAATGCATCCATACTCATACAAACACACTAAAAGTAAGTTATCAAGAGACAACTTTTCTTATAGATTTAGGGTATAAATCTTTCACTAGAAACACGTTTTTGCTGGGCAGTGGTGGCGCATGCCTTTAATCCCAGCACTTGGGAGGCAGAGGCAGGCGGATTTCTGAGTTCGAGGCCAGCCTGGTCTACAGAGTGAGTACCAGAACAGCGCCAGGGCTATACAGAGAAACTCTGTCTCGAAAAACAAAAACAACAAAAAACAAAAAGAAACACGTGCCGGGCGGTGGTGGCGCACGCCTTTAATCCCAGCACTTGGGAGGCAGAGGCAGGTGGATTTCTGAGTTCGAGGCCAGCCTGGTCTACAGAGTGAGTTCCAGGACAGCCAGGGCTCCACAGAGAAACCCTGTCTCGAAAAAACCAAAAAAAAAAAAAAAAAAAGAAACACGTTTTTAAGTCTTTCCCTAGTCAATGCCCTGAAAATGTGACTTTTATTCACCTGATGTTTTTGTCCCCTTGGAGGTTTACTGCCTCTGTCTGCTCACCTAGGCCTAGTCCTGGAAGCTTCTAGCCTCCTTACAATCTTATCTAGGCCTAGCATGTTTTCAGCTTCTGAGACTTGCTGCTGGATTAATTCACTCTTTCTAGTTCTTTCTGAACTCTGGCTGGCTAGTCAACTCAACTGTTCTGGATTAAACGCCTCTCTATACTGATTCAATCTAGCTTCTCTCTCTTGATCTCTCCTGAATTGTTCTGCTTTGCCTCAAACTAACTC